ATGTCTATGTCTATGTCTATGTCTATGTCTATGTCTATGTCTGCCTATGTATATGTATATGTTTATAATTGTTTACCAGTTGTTCTAGGATACCCAATGAGGCATTTTTTATTTCTATTTTAACATATTTAAAACATAATGTTTGCCCCAAAAGCATAGAAACTTATCGTGGGGGGCTTACATCTATCATAATAAACAAAGAAAAAAAAGTACAAGCACGTGGAAATGTGTTATCTAGTACAGTTAGTTACAGTAAACTAAGTTACAAAAAGAGTTTAAAAGAAATAATAATAAATAAATAAAACGAAATGTGACAAGTACGATAGTATAGTACATAATACAATTAATTACAGAAAGGCATTATCATAGTTTATCATTATTCAAATGTTTTAGTAAATCGCTACTTGTACATTACCATTGTTGTTGGAAAAACGTTTTTGTGGCCAGAATGTACTTTGAACTTCTTCAAATAGCTTATGGTTGTCCTCAAAACTTAATTCTTTACAACCAAAAAGAAACCAACCTAATTTTCGCCTGTTAGATGCAATTTTTTGCCACAAACTACCACAAATCAGTGCAGCTGAGGTAAATAAGGGATTTTGGTATGGTTGCACTAATTTACTCATGGTTTGCTGTTAATTTAACAAATACAATATCACAGAGGTATACCCTTTTTATCAAAATTAATTCAGTTGGATTCAATGTTTTGTTGTTTGTTTTTTTTTTTGTTAGTAATACATGGGAAAATATGTATGATATTTATATGACGTATTGAAATTTATATTTATAATTATTCTTTTTTAATAGATGGTTCCAGGTTTTCTGAAATAGAAAGAAGGGAAACGCACCTTGAACAAATAAAAGATCATAGATTGGAGAGGGTTATTCTTGACTGCCTGCATGATAATAGCTCTATGCGACCACACGCCCATGAAATAGTAAAGAAATTGAAACAAATCAAACGGAACACAACTGGAGAGACAAAACCCTTTTTTGGTCAATTAGCAAGGTGCAACCCAAACATTGAGTTCATGGAAGTGTCTTCACAGTCGAGATACGATCATGATTGGAAGGTAATTTTTCTTGGAAGTAGTGGAGTAGGTAAATCCTGCTTGGTAAACTTACTAAAGGATCCCCAGTATGATATCAAATTACAAGAATCAAGCATTGGGTTAGACTTTAAAGGTTTTTCGTACAAGTACAACTCACAATATCTTAAGATAACGATAACAGACACTGCAGGCCAGGAGAGATTTCATTCCCTACCACCAAATTATATACGAAATTCAGATGGTGTGCTTTTAGTATATGACGTGTCTAACAAAACAACATTTGACATGCTGCCCTACTGGTTGGAAATGATCGAGTGGCATGCATATGAGAATCGAAAAATACTCCTTGTCGGCAACAAGGTTGATCTAAGAGAACCAACTTCAGATAAACCGACCAATTCTTCAGATGAACCTTTAGTAGTACAAGAACATGCATTGACTTTGGCAAGTGACTTGGGGATTCCTTATATGGAAACCAGTGCAAAAGACATAGAGAGTATATGTAATATGCTGCAGTATATGGTTGAAATGCTGATGACCCCAGACAGTGCTTGTGTTGAAGATGTCCATGTGGAAGACGGAGAAAGACCTCCGAGTTCTTGTTCTTCTTTTCCACCAGAACAAGAGAGGAAAAAACTTTGTCCACGGTGTAGAATCAGTTAAAGCTAATGGTTTGAAAACAAATTGTACATATCTATATCTGTAATTTCTGTGCCGCCAACTCTGTACTGCTATCCCATAAGTCGTTACAATAACAGCCTGTGACCATTAATCTTGATACTGTTCATACAGATAAGGACTGATAAGGAAATATATACGCCGAATCGAAATATGGCGACCACTTTGAATAACTATTGTTCTGGACTGACTAGCCCTGCGTTCACGTGGAAAAACGATAGAGTTTTTAGAGAAATAGTTTTATGTATTCGATACAAAGCCTTTGGAAATGCCTGAAACATTTAGCGTATGCAGAAAGTTGTCAAATGAAATTACCAAAAAAAACTAAGATTTCTTGTTAAAAGCATAAAATTCGCAAGACCTTGCCTTGCAGATTGCTTAGGGGAGCCTTTATTTCACGGCTACGTTTACGTTACYAATTATCCCTATTTTTACCCTGCGAGCAGAGTTTCCTTTGAACTCCACTCCAGGCACTGATGAGCGACCAAATTTACGCTTATGAAAATTTAATGTCTCCAAGCTGCTAAGCTTGATGAAATTGAAGCAGTAAAAGAAGAACACGAGATCATCTTTCACTGGGGTCATGAGGCTATAAACATGTTTTGAAGCGGAAACGCGTTCGGACCGGAAACCATTTATGAAACAAGTGATCTTGTGAACGAGTTAGTTTCTTAGCAACCGCTGCGCATGCTCAAGTAACATTCTACACGATTTCTGAAGATGTTTGATCATCGGATTTACAAGCTGGAAAATAAGTGACTTTCCTTCTCTCGCCCGTAGAGGAGTTAAAAGGAGACTCTGCTCGCAGGGTACCCTATTATTTTTTCTTTTTGTATTTTTCTTAGTATAAGTATTTCCCAATTAGTATAGGTGTATAAATGTCTGAAAAAATATAAAAAAAGTTTAAAAATTAATGAAAATAAAGGTCAAATCACATACATGGTACTACCGGCTTTATTCATATCTGTTACTGCAAATTCCTGAAACGCATATATGTCGACAAATGTTGCTGACAATAGCTGATCCTTATCCCGCTAGCGTTACATTATTAAATATTAGATTTATCGGAAAAAAGAGATTACTATCGAATTTTTCACATCAGTAATAGCAAAAACTGCAAAGTTTCGTAAAGATTGTCCTTAAAATGACGAAGACATTAATTTTAAAACTTTACATTTTTGCAAAGAAATGTATGACAGCGATTCACTGCATGCGTTGAAAGCCCCATTATCAGGGTAGATACACACATTTCTTAGCAAAAAATCCACAAAGATTCTTAGATTCATTAATTGATATCTTCGTCATTTTTATTTTAAATTAAATTTTACAAAATATTTACGAAACTTCTAAGTTTTATTATCGGTGAGAAATTTGATAGTTAACTCCTTTTTCTGATAAATCGAATACCTTATGTCACGCTAGCGTGCTAAAGGTCAATCGACTTTGCAATTCATTTCATCCCAACAAAGTATTGCTTATATCCCTTTGGTATTGAACATTAAAACGTATTCCTGAAAATTAATTATGTATTCTAGAGCGTTTCTTCCTTCCTCGAGTCAGTTTTCATCGCAAAATGTAGTAAATAACACGCAATATGGAGTAAGAAACATCGCATCGAGCTTGTAAATGCTGGTCTGGTTAAGTCAGGTACTGTAAGTCAAGGGCTAATTTCACATTCAAGTCAACATGAACAACAATACAAACATCAAAGGTTCATTAAAAGACATAATCTGTCTTAGAAAGCAAATTGCGAAGGGCTCGCATGGCGAAGTTTGGTTGGCTGAATGGAACGGATTAAACGTGGCGGTGAAGAGAACAGATCAAGAATTATTCAAAAGAAAGTACTCGCAGGTAATAGACCATTATGTTGTAGAATTGAGGAAAGAGTGRGAAATACTGCAAAAGTTGAACCATCCAAACATCTTACGAATGCATAAAGTACTGCACGCTGGGGAGATTCATCAGTCATGAATTATTATGAAACTGATGCACTGTGATCTTCAGCATTACATAAAAGAATCTACAAGCACTCCTAAAGTCAGTACAGACAAAGTAGTGTCAATCGCTCTAGGAGTTACTAGAGGTTTGAAGTACCTTCATGGACTAACCATGCCTGTAGTTCATCGAGATATATCTCTTAAGAATATTCTGTTGACAGAAGACGGCCACCCCAAGATCGCAGGCTTTCGCGTCGCTAAAGTATTGACTGATGGTAGAGAAGCATGTGCTTCGCTGTGGCCAGGAGCCTCTTCGTATGCCGCTCCTGAAACCTATCAAGACATAAAGAATAATAAGGCAAAGTATGGCGCTAAAGTAGCTATATATTCGTTTGGAGTTACACTGCTAGCCACTATCTCCCTTCAAGAAAACCCTGGAAGGTAAGCCCTACAAGTTTCACTTCGTCCGTTTAAGTGAAAATCAGGCCATTAGAAATTAGCAAACAATACAAAGTTGATGTCGAACTAATCTAGTACTGTTTATTTACCATCTATTCTTTTCCTTTAAAACTCGTATCTAATTGATATTTAATTACATATATGTGATAATGTGCGCATTAATCAAAGTAACTTTTGGAATACGATGCGATTTTTGAATTTTCAAATAAAAAGACCAGCGAAACAACACTCCGTTACCTTCTCATCACTACAAAATCTTCGGGTGAATTTGCGCATTGATAATAATTATTATTATATCATCATAGTCGTATTCATTGTAATCATCCTAATTATTCTTATTATTAGACGAATCCTCAATTTCCCAATTGGACAGCAGGGATAACCATCTGAAGCAAATAAAAGGCAACATGTTGGAAAAGACTTTTATTGATTGCCTACAAGATCAGAGCTCCAGTCGACCGCATGCCCACGAAATAGTTGAGAAACTGGAAAAAATTGAACACGTTTACAAGAAAGTCCTGTGGTCAGCTAGCAAAATGTAACAATGAATTCGAGGGAGTTTCGTCGCAGTCACATATCGATTATAATAACTATAATCTGAAGCAAATAAAAGGCCACATGTTGGAAAAGACTATTGTTGATTGCTTACAAGATCAGAGCTCCAGTCGACCACAAGCTCACGAAATAGACGAGAACTGGAAAAAAATAAACACTTTCACAAAACACCTCCCTTTGGACAGCTAGCAAAATGTGACTTGAATATTGAATTCGAGAGAGTTTCTTTGCAGTCACATTACGATTATAAGTTCAAAGTAATCTTTCTTGGAAGCACCAATACAGGTAAGACCTGCCTGATGCAGCTTCTAAGAAATTCAGCTGACAACATCGATTGCTCAAGATTAAACCTCCAGTAATCTTTTATACTTCATTCGTACAGGCTCAACTCAGGTTATATTAAATTAACTATTGTAGACACTGTTGGGCAAGAGAGATTCTATTCCGTACCACCTATTTATCTGCGCACTCTGAAACTAAAGTGTCGAAAGATGCGTACTATTTCGATTCTATTGGACAATCTAGGGCAATGAGTTGGTGGTCGTGCGAGTAAAAGAAAGGAATGGAAAGGTATAAAAGGCAATGCCAGACTCTTATAAAACGACTCAAACATCGCTGGCTGATAACGATTGCTATTCCCATCAAGTTATACAGCGACTGCTAACAATGTAGATTTCAGTCAGTATCACATAACCATCTCTTTTTAGAYTGAGAAATGAATTATTCTATGCTAAAACGTTTTCTGATAATAAAGTACAAAAAGATAATGACTTATTTACCTTTTATGTACTAGGAGGAGAGCTTACACAAGCTTCTTCAGTATTAGTTGTCATGGTCAATAAATTGGACCTTATGTTTTTGAACGGCTAATAAAAATACAAAAGAAATATTCTGCTTTACATTTAATTTTTGTGTATCAATGTCTATTCTTTTTCTAGAGCTTAAAAGAGCTTTAAAGAAAGTAATGTCTAAAAAGTTTAATCAACTGGCTCAGCCAATCCACGCTACGTTGCCTCGAGAAAGTATTATTGCTGGGGTATAAGCATTTCCAATACAGAAAGAGGGTTACAAGCATTTCCAATGGCGGCCATCTTGGTGCGAATAATAATGGATGCTAACGAGAAATCGTTTGTTAAATGGCACCAACATGGCCCGCCGCGATGACATAACATGCAATCGAATAATAATAATAATATTTCGATTTATACTTGTTTCTTGAGAAGAGTATTCACGGCATTGCTAAAGGGCCATTAAATATTATACCATTAAAACAAATACTAAAAGAAGCTTTTCATTCCAAAAGCAGGAACATTAAACTAAACTGCGAAATTCCCATTCTCAAGTCCCTATTCCTGATTTTAGCAAGGTATGCTGCCACCTGCCAAGGCTCGACACCAAAAACCACATTGTAAACACGATTAGACAATCATAATATGAATCATAATAGAGCTAGCCATAAGAGTAAATGGTTTGAAACCATGTGTTGAAGTTTTTTGTGACTCTGGGATGGTGAAATCCATATGCAAATCAACCAATGCATCGTGCATGGCCAACTCTTTGTTGTAATTATCCAGGGTAGTGAAGTCTTGAGAAAGACTGTTATTGGTGGTGACCACCAACAACAGTCTTTCTCACACTCACCCAGACGATCACACACGAGTTCCGTCACAACAGAGAGTTAGCCATGCACGATACATTCGTTAATTTGCATATGGATCCCAGAGTCTATTTATCCCAGAGTTTGGAGTCGATAATCGATTTTCTTGGAATTGGTGGAGTTCTGCCTTGGATATATTTATTCTTCTCAAACAAATTAAAAACTTGAGTACACTTCAGTACACTTTTTTGTACGTTCTACATGTAGGACCTTGGAGGAAAACGAACGAGGAGACACAGGCATTTGTGCTCTGAATCACGATGAATAATAGCTTGTGTACCGCTTCACCAGGAAAACCAAAAATCATTTACAAGGAACGAATTAGGCAAGGTTCGTTCGACGAAGTTTGGTTGGTTGAATGGGATGGATCAAGAGCGGCGGCCAAAAGAATTCAAAAAAAGTTCTTCGAGATAGATTATGATCAGGAAATAAAAGCTCGAGTTTCAGAATTCAAGAAAGAGTGTAAAGTACTTGGAACCTTAGACCACGAAAACATTGTCAAAATGATAGATTTACTGCTTCCTGCAAACAAGTCACCAGTTATTATTATGGAACTGATGCACTGTGATCTTCGGAGTTACATAAAGAAATCGACAAGCACTCCTAAAGTCAGTCCAGATAAAGTTGTGTCAATCGCTCTAGGAGTTGCTAAAGGTTTGGAATACCTTCATGGACTGCCCAAACCCATCATCCATAGAGATYTTGCATCTAAAAATGTCCTGTTGACGAAGGATGGCCAGCCTAAGATTGCAGATCTAGGGGTGGCTAAAATCCTTTTATCTAGTAAAGATGATACTGCTACACCTAAACCGGGTACTCTTTTGTATGCTGCACCTGAAACCTACAAAAACGTTAAAAATTATTCGGCCACATATGGAGTTGCAGCTGATATATTTTCTTTTGGTGTGGTGCTACTGGAACTGAACGTTGGCCATGAGCCTTGTCCTTTACCGTTAAATYTCCCAGGTAAAAGGCTATCAACCTAATTTAATTATATAGAATCATTTTTTTCCTCCAAAACTTAAACCTTTTTGTCGCCATGATGCAAATTAATAGGCTAGAGGTTTTTACTTCAAAATTTGAAAGCTCTTGATGGTGATTGATACTGCTATATTATGATTCGCATGTTCTTTACAATACAACAAAGCACTTCATTGCTTTGGTTATGACACTAGTTGCTGTGAAGTATAAGCTATATATTGTCTTTTACTATGCCAACCAGAAATCGATTCGCTGATGAAACAAAGTAACTTGGCAAGAACTATTGCTGTTTGTTAACACCAACTAGCGCTATATAGCTTTTAGGAAAAGTGAACCAATACTCGAATGCCTTCAAAACCCATCTATGCATTCCTGATAGTGAATTGTGCGTTTGGTACAATCCTACTGTTACTATATCCATTTCCGTTTATATTGTTATAGTAATGAAAATTATTAACTCAGTTTCCATACTAAAAATAAAAACTGATGGCATTTTTTTTGTAGGCCAAACTACTGAAATACAAAGGAGGCAAAGGGAAATTGATGAAATGCAAGATGAAATCTTGAAAAGACTTGTAATTGATTGCCTCCAAGAGAAGAGTTCCAAAAGACCAAGAGCGAGCAAGATAGTGACAGACATGCGAAGAATCAAAGATGAAAGAGAATGTCAAAGGGAGCAAAGCACTCAGCCGGTCAGCTTTCAAATACTACAGGAAAAGCCTTCATGTCATCATCATTTCAAAGTGCTACTTCTTGGCAACCGTCATGTTGGAAAAACAAGTTTATTTGAGCTGTTGAGAGACCCAACGTACGATATCAATAAAAATTGTACACGTTGTACATTAAATATACAACCGATGATACATTATTTTAAATACAATGACAACATTGTACAGATGGAAATAGTAGATACCGCAGGAGAAGAGAAATACTTTTCCCTGACGTCAAGCTACTATCGTGATGTGGATGGTGTTTTTCTTGTCTATGATGTTTCTGAAGAATCATCACTTCAACGTTTGGGATCATTCTGGATAAAGAATCTCAAAAAATATAACACAAAAGACGTGCAGATTTTACTGGTTGGAAACAAAGTGGATTTAAGGCAAACTGTTACTGAACAGAAAAACCTGGTTCCACAAGAAAAAGCAATTGAATATTCCAGAAATATTAAGTCTCCTTATGTAGAAACAAGTGCAAAACACATTGATAGTGTAATGGCCATGTACCAGAAAATGGTAGAACTTCTGATGAGCACTGTTAGACCAGAAGATGTCAATGTTCAAGTGAATACTATAACATTGTCATCATTTCCAAGCCAAAACAGTCCAAAATTAAATAAGTGCTCCTGTAACATAGCATAAATATTGTTTTGAAGTACACTCAATGCTGTTCCCGAAAAAGAAACATTCAAGATCAATATGACCTCGGGCACTAGAGATTAATGAGGCTATTTTCTTGTATTTCCATGCATTGCAGAGTTAAAAATATGTTGTAGTATCTAGAGCTTTTGAATTTATTTTATCGCTTAGTTATTGAACGTAAACGATATGAAAGAGGGGAGGTGGGCGTCGGGTTGGGGGCTTGCTTCAATCATGGATTTTCGTCTTGAAATCCCCGTCCAAAATGTGATCGAAAACGTATTTTAATTGACGACTTCGATTGCGTCACACAGTAACTTTCATCAGTTCAATAGGACCTGATAGCCAATAGTTAGCGATGAGGAAACTGTTCTATAGACTTACTGTCTAGGCTATTGACACTATAAAAACGCTGTGCCAGAATCATCCTAAGCGCAGACTTTACTTCCAAATCAACCAGTCTATTTGAAAAACTCAAGTGGATTCCCATAGATGTATTATTCAATTCAAGAAACTGTACATATGCTATTTAAAATTGTTCATCAAAAATGTCCTGCATATTTCTGTAAGTGCATAAAGTATGTTAGTAATTCACATGGCTATAGCATTAGATCTGCTTCTATCAATAACATTCGAGTCCCAAAAATCAAACACAATTCAGAACTTCGAACTTCATGTTAGCTCAATCAAATTATGGAACAATTTAGACTCTTCTATAGGAACATCAAAGAATTTCAAATCTTTTAAGTCGTCATTATTACATTATTTTTTATCTAAGAATTCTAAATTAGATCATTTTAAACCAAATAGAACATTTTGACTTTTTTCTTCTTCTATTGTATATATTTTATATTTTAATTGTAAACTTTATTATATTTTATCTCTTTTATATGTTTTCTTATGGCCTCAATGTAAACTAATGCTATTGCATTAATTGAGTTTATATTTCTACTGTACAGATTTTTTAATTTTAATTGTAAACTTTATTATATTTTATCTCTTTTATATGTTTTCTTATGGCCTCAATGTAAACTAATGCTATTGCATTAATTGAGTTTATACCAATAAAGTCATTATTATGAGTGAAAACGGGGCAATCATAGAAATGTTAACTATGACACACTATAAACATTACCGTCTTTGTATTCAATGCAGACTAGGGCATGCTGGRATAGGGTTATTCTCTTAAGCTTGTAGCTTTGCAGTTTTGGGAGCTATCACTGCTATCTCCTCGAAAAGTCTGACGCTTTAGAAATCACTATTCTCTAGTATATGAACTGGTATCCTCCTTTTCAAATATTTAGGATATATTTAAGACATTTAAGAGACATCTCTTGGTGTAGAGTGAACATATAACTAAAACGTTTCTATCAAATCATGAAACCGGAAGTAGGGTTTCGATCGATCACATGAATTGAAGGCCTCAAATCATGTTAATTAATCGTGGTCATCGTAACTGGTCTAATTGAGTTGATATGACTGAGAAGAAGTGGGCTTCTTCACTTGACGTTTCAGAGGAAACTATCTTGTACGGCGAGAGCATCGGGAAAGGCTCGTTCGRTGAAGTATGGTCTGCTGTATGGTGTGGATCTCAAGTGGCAGCCAAAACGATCCACGAAAAGTACTTTAAAAAAGAATATGATCAGGAAATAAGAGACTTTTACATAGGAAAACTCAGAAATGAATGGAAAGTATTACAGGAGCTGGTCCATCCAAACATCGTACGAATGTATACAGTACTCTTCCCTCCACACAATTCACCGGTAATTGTTATGGAACGGATGCACTGTGACCTTCTGCACTACATTGAAAACTCCACAAGTATTCCTAAAGTCAGTCCAAGTAAAGGGTTGTCAATTGCTCTAGGAGTTGCTGAAGGGTTGGAATATCTACATGGATTTCGCCCGGATCCCGTGGTACATCGAGATCTTGCTACCAAGAACATTCTGCTAACAGTGGATGGCCAACCAAAGATTGCAGATCTTGGGGTGGCTAGAATATTTGCTGCTGGTAAGGATGATTTTGCTACAGCAAGGCCAGGTACTCCCTTGTATGCTGCGCCTGAAACCTATAAGAAGATTATCGGAGGTGATACGGCTAAATATGGACCTAAAGTGGACATATTTTCCTTTGGTGTTGTAGTGCTGGTAATCAATATAGGCCATGAACCTGTTTACTTGCCTATAAATCGTCCAAAAGGTATGAGTGCAGTCCACCTACTTGTATTCACTTACAAACTCCTAGGAAAACTTCTTACTACATAATAAAAACCAAATTAGAGTAAAAATATTATTAGAGTTAACTCGAGGTACTCAGAATCATATTATAGGATTTGTATATTTGACAAAGAAATATGGTCTTTTACGATTTTCAAATACACAAAAATCGCAAGAGACCACTTACGAAAAGAAAAATTTTCTTTATACTCATTGAGTAAGTTCACTCGAGTGCTTGATGTTGTTTTGAGAAAAACTGGTCGCTATTGAAGCTTGGACAAGCTTAGTAGACCGAGGTCATCCTTACAGTCGACAAAATAATTTTTTTTTTTCAGTCTGTAAACAATACACAACCTAAATACGATTTATTTCATGCCACAACAGGACCCAAACTTTCTGAATTAAAAAAGAGAGAAAAGGATATCCAGAAAATACAAGACCCCGGGATTAGACAGCTTGTAATTCATTGCCTTCAAGAGAAAGGTTCCAATAGACCAAGCGCATGCATGATAGTGACAGACCTACGAAGAATTAAAGATGAAAGACAAGGTCAAATGGTAACATGCCCTCAAGCTGTCACTTTTGAGAAAGTTTCTCCTCAACCTTCTTGTGATTACGCGTTCAAAGTGCTTTTCCTTGGAAATAGATATGTTGGGAAGTCCTGCTTGTTTGAGCTACTAAAAAATCCAGTATATAAGATTAAACAAACTATGCCATTGACTATGTCAATATTCCCAGTCATACAATGGTTTCAGTATAGTTCTTTTTTCGTTAAGATGGAAATAGCAGACACTTCAGGAGAAGAGCGTTTCTTTTCCTTGACATCAAGTTACTATCGTGATGTGCATGGTGCTTTTCTAACCTACGATATTTCTAGTGAGGAGTCATTAGAAAAACTGCCATTCTGGATTAAAAATTTAAAAACATACAACAATAAAGATAACACCAAGATGCTTCTAGTTGGAAACAAATTGGATTTAAGACAAAGCATGAAACCACAGGAGATGGTTCCAAAAGAAAAAGCTTTGGCGTTTGCAAATATGTTAGAGTGTCCTTATGTAGAAACAAGCGCGAAAGACATTGACAGTGTAATGGCAATGTACAAGAAGATGGTTGAAATTCTGATAAGTGAAGTCAACCATGATGATGTCAGAATTCAAATGGAAGAAGAAAAGCAAGGAAATGAAAGATCTACTATAAATCTGTTTACACAATCAAAGAGGAAATTAAGGAACAATGTGAGTTGTCCCTCTCCCTCTTGCAAAAATTCTTGAATTTCAAGCTGAGTTGAGGATCTGAAACATACACTGAAGGCACAGACAACTCAGAATTACTCTACACCTGCATGAGGTGAACGGAAAATAAATCTCTCATTTTTGAATTGCATTTGTTCTATTCTGCTTATATTTGAATCAATTCGAAAACTTGTTTGAAATCATTGTTTGCTTCTTCTAGAAACATAGTAATAAGGTTAATTGGTCAGAACATGTGATTTGTATTCATGATATATCTATATATCATGATATATAACTATAACTAACTCGGAAAATTAGAATTAATAACACAATACTTACATTTAAATAACTTTAGGTTGGATCCATTAATTGAAATCCAAGAGCAATCATTCCTAGGTAAAGAAAGAAAATGCATGCTTGCTTCAATTCAGCACAAAAATGATAAATAGGTATAGAAATCAATTACTCACCCATCTTGCCATGATTTCCAGCATTGCACTTGGCTATGAGAGTTGTGTCTTATTTTTCGATACTTTAAGACTGCGGGTAATTTCAGCACAAACAAGAATGTTGTAAAGTAGTTACATTGGGCAAAAAGCTTTGAAAGAGCTGGTTATCATGACGAATTGAAGATAAAAATCTGTCGTTTTTGTTTTTTTGGAAGAGGGATGATAGTTTCCTTATTTTAAGTGCAACTAAGCACGAACTTGGGTTCAAATGCATATGAAACCTTAACCATAATAGAGCCTTTTATGGATAAGGTGCACCATAATAAATTACATTATTATATGACCGTGAATCTTAGAGCCTGGACACTAGCAAATCGAGCAATCTGATTGGATAGATGGCATCGCGGACTTGTCTAGATTCTCCGGTATTAACTGGTCCGATCGCATATTAATCTTACGGCGAAAACATTTTGTCCTTTTCAATGAAAAGTGGTCATACAATAAAACTCTTATCAACCGACCTTGGTCGGTCTGTACGGGATATTTGTCGGTCTGTACGGGATAATCTTGACCTCGGTCGGGTACAGACCTCGGTCAAGATTATCCCGTACAGACCTCCCGCTCGGTTAATAAGATCTAATTATTATTTGCTTCCAAAAATAAATACATATATCATAGATGAGAACATGTGGACCGCGTAGCACTTATGAAATACAAGATATAGAAATATAGATAAGTTATAGTGCTTGGGAACGAGGTTATTCCGGGCGAAAGACCCTTGGAAATAAATTCGGAAAAATTAATTTCCGACCTCGCTGGGAATCGAGCCCATCACCTTCGGAATTGTACTACCGATGCCCTACCAGCTGAGCTAGAGGTCAGACTGAGAGCAGGCCGGGGTGAAATAGATGTTAGGTCGCGGTAATTATGATGCAAAGATGAGAATATGTGGACCGCGTAGCACTTATGAAATACAAGATATAGAAATATAGATAAGTTATAGTGCTTGGCATAGTTCTATTTTCTGTGGCACGAAAAAATTCATTTACTTTCTTGTTAGTTATTTCAATAACAAAGCCGGTAAGCAACGGTTGCAAGCTGTTTCAAAACATGGTTTATTACAGAGAAAGAGAAAAAAAATCTTTACTAATTTGAAAATTGTTTTAATGTTTAATCTTTTTTAATATCTTTTAATCTTTTTTATTTTTTATTTTTAATCTTTATTGGACACCAAAACATTTTCGATACTTTAAGTTTCATATCAGTTACTCGTTTAGTGTTATTAAGTGCAATAATAATGTGGTGTCTCAAGAAGCCAAGTTTTCACTTTTCGCTGTATCAACAAAAAAGCATTCTTGCACTGGTATGGACTGTATTTGTCTTTGAATTATGTATGATGTAAAATGTTTGTTAAGTTATAACAATGTCCTCAATTCTATATCGAAAACTGAAACAGGAAGAACTTTTACTACTTTAACATTAACAATAAATAAATAAGGCAGTCGTATGACAATCTGTCATGATCCCTATTCCCAAGGCTCTGATATAAACCCAATATGGCATACTGCAACAATACCAGTCGTRTCACAATCATGAGTGACTTTCGCATTTGAAAATCTCAAAGAAAAAGCTACGATATATAACTGTTTTATCAATAGCAATGAATAAATAATAATGAGAATTCATGTGACAATTGGTTAACTTTCACAGTATATCTAGCTAACATCATGCACAATACCAGTCTTGTGATAACCAGATCACGTGATCATCTCGATATCTTCTTGCCCATCTGAATCAACCTCTATTTGGTTGGAATCGTTTCCTTCTTTGAATAACAAAGTCAAGCCTGCTAATGTCAGTGCTGAGTTTTCTGTGTCCTTACTTCCTGTCCTATTGGATCAGAAGAAAAGGAATAATTGTACATATAGCCATTCAAACGTCCAAAAAGTGCCCATTTGCTGGATAAGGATGAGTAAAGTGCATATAAGCTCTATTTCATTACTTTCAGTATCGATGCTACATGTAGCGAATAACTGAATGGTGAACTATTTTCTTGATACGAGTGTTGCACCTTTAAGTTATGAAGATTTTTAGTTCTCATAATGGCCAGCATTTGGTATTGCTAGTTATATTAAATACACTGAAATATGGCATAAATTTTGTCACAGTCCTTAACATAATGGGATGTATAAACGTTCAAATATTTTTCCATTCAACCATTCTTTTCACGTAGAATTAAGTATTGAATTTAGGGCTTATATGCGCTATAAAGTACAAAATAATGCAAAATTACGCCTTACCTTACATCCCTGGACTTGCCATTCAGTAGTGAGTGCATTCTGGATTCCACGGTATTGTTAATAATGAAACGATGGACGAAAGTGGGCCTGAAGTAGGTTTAAAAATAAATTATTATGATAAGGTGAAATTCTGGTTCTCTTCCTTCATTTTCCATCGTTCCCTCCCTAAATTATTCTTCGCTTGCAAGTTACATCAGTGCTGCCATGTTGGGGGTAATTCATGGTGCCATTTCCGAGAGATATTTAATTGCCTTTTGTTAATACCATTTAGTGCCATTTGCATCAGCGCCGCCATGTTGGAGGTATTCATGGTGCCACTTAAAAAAGATATGCAATTGCCTTTTTTTGCTAATACCACCAACATGGTAGCCATGCCATTGTTTTCTGATTCTATTTTGTGGATGATTACAAACCAGCAATTGCATTTTCTCTAGCTATCCTTGCATTCAAAAAATTACAGGTAAAGCATTATGTTTATTATAAAGAATCACCTAGTCTGTCCAATACGATGGACCCGTCCCACTGCTTGCAGCTCGTGTGCAGGGTTCAAAGCAGGTTCCACCAACAGCACATGAGTTGCTTCGATAATATTGAGCCCATTTGAACCGGATTGCAAGGGAAGCAACAAAACAGGAACATCGGGATCTTCTTTGAACACATGCAGATCGGTCTGGAATTGTTATCGAAAAACATTTAAAAAACGAGGGAAACACAAAATCCAATCTAGACTTACATTAAATAACATTCTAGTTCTAGAAAGACTGGAGAGGACGTGACAAGGGGGAGAGAGGGGAGGGGTTATTTTAAAAGCAAATAGCATATCATTTGTCATATTTTGCTTCTGTACCTGAAAGCGTTTTCCACCACATGTAATGTGTCGAAAATTGATGTCATTCTCTTGAAGTGCTTTTCCGATGAGTTCTAGAACATCTTGCCACTAGAGCAAAAAAAAAAAAAAAAGAGAGAAGTACATCACAAAATGAGTCAAAAAGTCTTAAAGCAGCCTGGGAGTCAAAGCAATTCTCGCTCAGGTACCCATGATCAGGAGACTCAGCTGAGCAGTGAATGAAACGAGAGTGCTTCTGGAACCCAGGTAACGTAGATAGCTTACTGTGGAAAAAACGAGACACTTGGCTGTTCCATCCTCAGCTTTAATCTTTAGAAGTGCACGGACGACGGCTTCTACCTTGGTCGAATGGCTTCCCTGAAGAAAAAAAAAAAAAAATAGGGATTAGATTTCAAAACGTTAAGCCGTTATTAATAACTGATAGTTTAACACTTTGAGATGTCTGTGAATTATTTGATACCAACAACCTTTTATTCAACTCCATTGTCTAATTTATCCAGTGACTAATTTATATAATTTTGTATCAAAATTACGCCAAAATGCAAAAGAAAACAATGATACAAGCACAAGTTTTGAGGCAGGGAAATCGCAACATCTATAGCCAATTAATTGCAATATAAAAATTTCCGCTTCTGAACCGTATGCCGTTGCTTAGACTTGCTTCAAGTCGATCTTGGCTCTCTCGAGAGCTTTTTTTGTCGAGCGAAGCGAGAATTTGTTGAGTGCAGCGAGCGAGCGACTGCGTGGTGGACTTTTTGAAAGTCTAGCTGTTGCTAGGATTTATCAGATACTGACGTACCTTGACAAGAACATTCTTGTCAGCATGGTTATTCTCTTTCCCTGTGCATACGTAAGATATCTCACGAGCTAAAGTCGGAAAACGACAAATAGGGCACTTGATATTGACATCCCTGTTTCTGGGACCAATTCCTGCTTGACGTAAGAGCACCCAGACACATTGACAGCAGTAGCAATGACCACATGAAAAAACACTCCACTGAAAAGAAAAAAAACTCTAGAAGATGAAGGATGCATTTTCACAAATCAACCTCCCATGAATCGTCCCAAATTTTCTTTGCTGAGCTGCAAATGTTATGCCACAATCACTTCACTGAATCACTGAATTCTTCTAATGAATACGTAGAGGAACGTCTCTAGTCATATATGCTGATAGCTCACCTCTTTCCCTAGGTTTTTCGTGCAGACGGGGCATGAATCGGGGTTTTCGCCTTTGTTGAACTTCTGGCTCTGTAAAAAAAAACATGGACAACTATAATCATGTACGAGACATGAATAGGGTTTTTCACCTTAGTTAAACTTCTCAGTGCTCAATGACGATTTTAGGCAATGGGCTAGTAAAAGTAATAGAATTTAGCACGGCAGAGTAATTTACTAGGCTAGATCTTTAGTATTCCAGAAAACCAAGAGAGCCTGATACTCAGGTTAGGGAAATTAGTGATCAATGGCAAAACCTTTTCCAATTAGCGTACAATGAGGTAACGTGACCGCGACTGACGAAAATATGTTCATTCACACAGCAGGATATCCGGAACACAACCGGAATTACTGAATTCGAGGCTTCGCCATAAAACTGCTAAATGCGCCAAAGCCGTATTAGTTTTTACCGATAAACGTTTCGTTGAGTGAGATGCTATTTCTCAGTTGAGAGGTTCCTGGGTAAGAAGGTGAATTAATGAAGAGCCAGTAAATCTCCCTTGGTTCATCCACTAAGATAGATAAAAAAATAAGCCACTTACCTTCGCAAGGTTAGTCAGGTAAAGATACTGCCCAAGCTTCTTTCTCAGCTCAGTGCGAGCAATAACACGGTCTGATATGAACTTCAGTTTCTGCTGTTCAACCTAAGAACATGTAAATAAAGATAATATGCTTAGCACTTTATTAATTTTCCAGGTTAAACCTTTTTGTGAGGTCAATTGCTGGTTTTCATGGGTAGTGAAAGAACAAAAGATATGGCAGCCAAATTGAAGGATACAAAAAAAGAGACGAATTACGAATCTTTTGTTACGTATACCTTTTTACCTTGTGCATGACGTTTTTGCTATTTTTAGACCACGAATCCTTTCCTAGATTATCATTTTTTTGTTTAACGGTTGTGCACGAGGAGACATAATATGGAGGTCTAATGACCACTAAAGCGCTATGAAAACCAGCAACATCTTATGAAGGTTATTCCTACTTCAATATATTAAAAACATACCTCTCCTTGCTGAATAACATGCTTTTCATCCTCGTTCACAGTTTCTCCTGGTAAAGCTAAGCGTAGTTTTGTTGTACACATTTCTAACTCATCTAGAGAAGACACCCTCTCTCGTGACGCGAACCAGACACTACGAAGAAACTGATATCAAGAAAATAGGAATAAAGTGAAATCTTTGTACATAGTTATGCAAGCAAGCAAGCAAGCAAGCAAGCAAGCAAGCAAGCAAGCAAGCAAGCAAGCAAGCAAGCAAGCAAGCAAGCAAGCAAGCAAGCAGGCAAGCAAGTAAGTAAGTAAGTAAGTAAGTAAGTAATGTAAGTAAGTAATGTAACTAAGGGTGAGCCCAGCGTGAAGCTAAAACAAAACATACAAAGATGGGTGACAGATGTAGGAGGACAAATGGAGGGAGGGGAAGGGGGTGGGAGGGATGAAGGACAAACGAATGGGTTTAGATGAAATAAACGATCAAGCAAAGCCTTTTTACTTTAAATTCCTTCCTTCGTGCTTCCATGAATGTCAGATGATTGCGAGCATTTTGGTGAACAGAAGGGACGAGACCTGCACAATAAAAATTGTTGAAAATCGAATGCACTTTTGAACCAAGATTGGCAAACCATATAGTTAAGTTTCGCAAGTGTTGGTCCTTATATTAATGCATATTTAACTGCTGCAATTGCTAGTATCAGCTGATAAAAGTACTGGAACGAATTATCTGCTACAAATTTTTGTCAACTACTGACCACCATGTGCTGTCAACTAGAAACTATTCTATTGCAAATTGGTGGTTCAGCTGATGAACATTTTACATCCAGAAACCCAGCAATTATAAGATCATTGTTGACAAAGGATGTCATAGGCGTGCCAGTAAGTCAACGGCGATGACTCTTAAGGAGAAACTGATGTATGCACATTTTTTAAATATTTTACTTTTGAAACATATATTTGTTTTATACACTTGCTTTACTCTCCCTGATTTATTAATGGGAGGAAGATTGTGAAGTTGAAGAATAACCAATAATATGATAAACACTTACGATGAGATTTGATAAAAGCAAAAAGTGTCTTGAGTACTTTCTCTGCTTCCGTTTCCGCCCGAAGACCACCTGTGTTGCCATGACGATGCCAGTCAATATTGCTTGCGTCACTGTGGAAAATCGATGGAAAGAGAAAAGTATGTTAACGTACTTACATTTCAAAAAATCCAAAAATAAAATAAAAAGACTTCTACCCCCCTCCCTTCCCTTCTGATCAGAAGAAAGTATTTCATCTTTCATATCGATGATGAAGAAAGATGACAAAGAAGATTTTGTTGATATTGTAGGGTTGGAGAAGAAGGAGGAAATAGAAGAAGACCATTAGTACTAGCCAAAGTGACCAAAGCAAAAAAGACCAAAGCAAAAGTGACCGAAGTCTTCCTTTTACTGAAGACCATCCTGTACAGTTATTATCTGACGAGGGGATTCCAATGTATAGGGACCTAAGGAACAATTGTATAAAGAGTGCACAAAATGAACAAGTAAATTAACGTAGAGAACAGATGTTTAACTCACTCCTCTTCAATGATGCCTTTCATTCCCTGATGACCGAATAATCTTGACTCGTATTCCGTAAAGATATCATCTACCTCGCAGAACTTGCACCTGCAATTGAGATTCACCACGAAAAATGCTTGAGCAGATTAAATGTTGTGGTTATGGCCAATTCCCCCTTTCATTGAAGTTTTGCTCTCTATAACCCATCCCCTACTTGGCTCCCATTCTGAACCAAACAATAATAATGACTTTATTGGATATACACAATTATTTGGAATCCAGGGCTCGGTTGTAAGAAGGGTGGATAGTGCTATCTGACGCTGTTATTCAATAGATTCATCCACTGATTTATTCGTTGGATAGTTTGATTAACCCTTCGTACAACCGGACCGCAGTAGTTTACATTGTGTTCCGAGAAATGAATAAAAAAACATCGATTTGACGGTGGATTTAGTGCCAATTTTGTTCTCCTTCTCATAAAAAAATTATCTCTGTTAAAAATGAGACGCAGAAAAAATGATAAGCAGTAAACGTACCTTGTTGCTTGACTAGTTCTGTGTGGTCTTGATCTCAAACAACAGACAGCAGTAGCATGAACCATCTCAGGCGTAGGATATGAACGAAGTTGATCAAGGGCCTGCACCAAAGTGCTGTGCGTTGACTGAAAGAAAACATTTATTTTTTATGCTTTGACAAAAGATAGTTAAGTCTATCTAAAAAAACATTTTCTGGCTTTGAGTGCGTTTTTCGAGGGAAGCTTGCAACGCAACTGAACCGAAGTTTGAGCAGGTTTGATTGCGCAAGAGATGAATTGCATACCTCAACTACGTCTAGCTTTGTAGTCACTGTGAATCCTAGACCATGAATGTCAGTAAAACTGTGAATAACAACAGAAATATAAAATTATTCTTTTCTCTTCTCACACTCTTGTTTTGTACACACACACACACACACACACAAACGGATAAAGTTCTTACTAAGGACTGACAAACCTGTTGAGGATGCTGCTATGATCTGTAGACACTGCCGATAGTTCCTCTTTCACCCGATTAATCAACTCATGTCCCAGACCACTGGAATGCACACTGTCTGCCGCAAGTAGCCACCAGGGAGTCTGGAACTGAACCTAGTATCATCAAATAAAATATATACTATTTCTCGCAGCAGAGAATTATATCGTCCCAGATAAGTTGAAATGCACCGGTCTTCATAATGGACTTCAGGGCTCAGATGTACGAAGGGTGGATGGCGCTATCCAATGGATAAATCATGATCCAGTGGATAAGTCCATGCTGTTATCCATGGAATTTATTCACTGGTTATGATTTATCCGTCGGATAGCGCTATCCACCCTTCGTACAACCGGGCCCAATTTTCGCCGGGGATTTTGCTCCTGTGTGTGAGGTGTTGTATACGATTAAGTGCGTCAGTTTTTTTCCACTCTTACGGATTCTTCTCTATCTGAATATCAATTTATTGTATGCCATTTACCTTTTTCAATAACTCTTCGATATTCGTTTGAGCAACTGCCAGGTGGTCTAGCGCAGCCTGAACTTGAGTGTTTGGTTTTGTCATGTACTGCTTCACCAGTTCTTCAGCCTGCGAAAAGAGTGGCACATCGGTCTAGTTGTTTCTCAACTTACTTTTTTTCTGAGATAGCAAACATAGTGCGTTGTGGTCTAGATTAGGTACAAACATCTGTTGTTTTTCACTTCTTATATCGGTGTTGTTTGTACCCAATCTAGACAGCATTCCATTCATCGAACTCGGAAAAGGTTTAAAACAAAAATAGAGCGGAGAGAAGCATCTATACTGAAAGCGTTGGCGAGATTTCCCACTTCTAAATTTTTGTTTTTAAAAAAGAACTTCTCTGCATTCCTCTGCTCCTGATCAAATTTGGATTGGCACTCGTATAAAACAACTCCATATTTTACAGTCCAATTCGGTTTCAAAGATGGTGGCTCCCTCTAGGATACCGCCAATGAAGTAAATTTCATACTTAAGTAAAGAACTTGCTGGTAAACCCGTAGGAGGGGTAATGCACAAAAGTCATCACTCACCTCATCTTTCAACTTGTCATCCCTCAGGGTATGAGAACATCCTGGGTGCCCGGCTGACAGCAGGTCTGACAGGTTGTGCAGTGTATGCAGTTTCTTTAAAGGAGAATCATTTATAAAGTTAGATGGTGTTTCTTGTTTCCGTGACCTTCACGACTTTCTGACGCAAGGTTTTTGGCTTCCGTCATCCAAATAATTTTTAACTCAGACTGCTACCAATTGGCCGCGTTTAGAGTTGTCTGGGTTTCAGAAAATTAAAAAGCGCTCCAAGATGAAATTCTAGAATTTTTCTCACGTTTGCGCAGCCATCTATAATCACGACGAACATGAAGTCCAAACGACGTTTTGGAATGACAGACCTTTTTTTGAGTTTAAAAATACTGCTGTGTTCCTTGATTACAGACTCATTTACTCAGGGTTAGCCTTGTATCAGTGTCTAAATATTCACAAATACCAACGGTAAAGTAAAGAATGCGGCACAACTTAAACTACACAAACTCTTGGAAATTCGACGGACCTTCACTAGAACACAACAATATTCTCAGTACAATATTCGAGTCTAAGCCTGAGCAACAGAGAACTCGAATCTGGATTACTGAGAGATGAATGCATTACCTGTAAAGCATCTGTTCTGAACTTGTCTTCATGTTCCATCCACGATCGCATTGACGCGCGATATAGTTCCACTGCTTCAGGCCACTTTAATAAAAAAAATGCACAAAACATTTCCACATGATTGTAACGGGGACATAGAGGACACCAATCGGTGCGGTTAAACACTGGAGTATCCTTACCAAGGCTTTTCACGGGTAACATCATTATGTCTTGATCAAATCCTTGGTAGTAGAAACTAATCGATGGGAAATTCAGTTTCTTTCTTTTTTCTTTATTCAATTTTTGTTCAGTTTTTCAACTGATACAAAAAGTTAAAATAACATTTTAAATCCATAATTGAGTCTAATTATTGGTGTGTCTTAACTCTTTTGTAGTTGCCTTTGGAAGTATAAAGCAGATCGTAATACTGAAAATGTTTACGGTACCTCTTCTTTGATGGCATGTATTCCAGCCAAACCTGGGGGGGAAAATGAATAAAAAATAAAAATAAATCTTTGGGGTAAAGCTCACACATCACCGATAATAATTTTCTACTATCAAAAATAGTTCTTTTAAAAAAAGTCTCTAAAATTCGACATTTTTTCTTAAGAAAGATTTAGGGTAGTGCACCCTCTACTAACCACTCTGTTCGTGAGTACTATCCCTGAACCTGCCATCATGCAAGTATTATCCATTCCGAGGATGAGGTAAAACCTGGGTCGAGTTGGCATTCCAGTGCATCGTGGGACTGTTTTAGGGGACATATTTCCAAGATGGAATCTTTTCGTTCCCTAAAATGGTCCTCACAAGCACTGCAATGGCAACTCGACCCAGTTTGTTTTTGTCCACCCCGGAATGGCTTATTGATCACTGTTATTTCTTTCCTGTGCTCCAAGACCATTTTAGTATTTCTCTGGGTTCTCCGGGTCTCCCTCTCCTCCATTCCCCCCCCCCCCCCCCCCCCCCCCCCCCCCCACTCCATCCGAAAAGAACAATCAAAAGAAGCAACTTTAGCAGGGCCGTAACCAGGGGAAGCACAGGGTGCACGTGCACCCCCCCATAAAAGCTTAAGGTCCGCTCATCCATCTCCTTTTTTTTTTTTTTTGGTTCTGCTTGCTTTTGGTTACCTTTTTTTTTGGCTTTGCTTTCTTAAAAAAAACGATCAATGGTCCGATTTTATTCGATGTGCACCCTCCCTGTAAAAGTTCTGGTTACGGTCCTGTTTAGTTGGGAAGAGTATTCTATACTAGCTCCGTTTTTAGCATAATCACTCATGACTAACCATTAATGGCGAAAAGGAGTTGTCTGTGTGCCTCTTCACATTCAAGCTTGGCTCTTGTTATAAGAACCTCTAGGAGCTGATCCATTGTCATAGTACTATGTAAAGTAAAACAAAAAACACAAGTATCCATGATATTTATATATACAGCTTCCAGGATAACACCAGCTAAAACAGCAGGTAGAGCAACAATAAGAATGAAGACTACAACTGCAACAACAACAGCAACAGCAACACCAACACCAAAACATGAACAAACTAATATATCTTGAACAAATGCCACAGCAAAGCAACCACAAATACAAAAGCAGCAGTAGAGTGGATACCATATACCCGTGAAGAGTTTGCACAAAAAAAAATTGCACAAATTAGTAATTTCAGCAGACCTCAGTAGACCGTTGAACTGCAAAACTTTGCAATAAATTTGTACAATTTTGTTAGTTAACAACGATAACAACATTAGCAATACTACCACGACAACTGATACTTATGAATTAGGCGAGTATTTTTGTCTGGCAAACATACACCTACCTTTTCTGCATGGATAAAAAACCTCCTCTGACCACTTGTGGATGGCAACAGGCTTGTCTTAACCTTAGCAACGGGATCAGCATCTAGGAGCGAATGAAAAAAAAATTCATTTTACGGCGATACAAGGTACGAATATATATTTGTGTATGACATATCTAGTGCACAAAAGGAAGGGAGACTTTACTAAATCTTACCCTGTGAACTGTATTCCTATCTAAACTGTTTAGCTTAACGTCTTGAGACCCGAAGCGTTTCAGCATCTGAAACGAATAGTCAAAAAACATTGTTTAGTGGTAATGATGATGGCAGTAGTATGGGCGTGGCGGTAAATTATTTTACCAAGGAAGGAAAGGGAAGGGAAGGGAAGGGAAGGGAAGGGAAGGGAAGGGAAGTGACGCTAAAGAACAGAAATGAAACGCAATGCAAATGGAACTGATAAAATACAATAGAATAGGAGCAGGAGGTATGAGTTAAGCGACTATTCCTCACCACATGTATTGAAGCAGAGCATTCCTCATGCTGTCTGCGGTAAAAGTGTTCCTCAACAGGCGTGAAGTTTAGGCGAACAACAATTTCTGTCTGGCTTGGTAAATGAATCTAGGGGAAAATCCAAGATCAGAATTAACAGAAAGAAGTATTACCAGTAACAAAGAGAATAAGGATAGTTTTTATTATTATTATAGATAGAATTTTGATCGTTGCATGCAGTGAACTATCAATTTTATATTGAACCATTTGGAATTTGAAAAAAAAATAGTATTGATTAAATGGAGGGTCATATAAAACATGGATTGCTGTCACTATGACGGTCACATTGAAACAGTGAAACTAATTGAAAACAATTATTTGTTGTGAATGTGATCTTCCGTGTGAGTGTAGTCTTGATGAAAAAAAGCAAAGAAAGTTTTCTCACTGGACTCTAGAGATGAGTTCCGCTCTGGTTGTCGAAACACCAGTCACCACTAACAACAGTCTTTCTCAAGACTACACTCATTGTCGTGGAGATTATGATGAGTAGTTTACGTACGAGTGGGACAAATACGGTACTTTCTTACACCATGAAAACAGTACGACATTCTATAACATTGAAATGGCTTCCTGTTGACTTATTGTTCAACCACGACGCGCAGTTACGGCTACAGTAAGAAAGTGCGCGGCTACAGTACGACCACGAATTTGACGAAATCCGCTCTAGTTGTGCTACGCTAATTCAACATAAAAATACAACATCTATCCGCCTTACTTCGTCAAGCACGTTTTTCTTTGCGGTTCTCCACAGGATGTCCGCAAGGGCGTCAAACATTGGTTCCTTGTTTCCTCTTAGGTACGGCTCGTACAAGAGCCTATTCCACCATATTTTTTGACAGTATGGAAACACTCCAAGGAACAGAAGAAGACCGTAAAGATCTGCAAAATAATTACGAATCAATTATAAAACTCTTCCAAGAGGCCCTGATTGATATATCGTGAGCAAAAGTGGTTTTCCAATCTTTACCTTCCAATCCTTTCTGAATTGGTGTTCCGGTAACGCACCATCGATTGACGCAGTCTAAACGTAACGCCATCTCAGCTGCCTAATAACAGAGTACATAAAGCTCAAATTTGAGATATAATATATTGTAATTGTGTTGAAGAAATAGAAAACGCGCGCGCGTGCTTTGTGCAGTCATAAAGCACGCGGGGATTGGCAGAACACTCGAGGAGTGTTTAGGAGAATCACGATAGGTAACAGACTGCTGCTCAATATTTCACGAGTGTTTTTTTCATTCCCCTGGCTTTATGACTGCACACAACACAGCAAGGAATTATTTTTTAAATATAAAATAAAAATTAGAGTAGCTTAGTGTACTCTCATAACTAATGCATGCGACTCCGACCAATCAGAAAGCTAGATTAATAAGATAATTTTACTCCGACGAAGGACTAGCGTCCGAAACGTCAATAAGTTCTTTCATCTTTTCGCGGTGTATAATTTACCTTTTTATCATTACTGTTTCAATAGAAAAACCGTCGCAGCTCACACTAGTTTTTAGCTAGTTATCTCTTCTTTAGATCAATTATAGTCATTTTATAATAGAACTTATAATTCAACTTTTCGTCTCCTCTTTCTTTGATCCCTACTCCTGCCCTCTCCCATCACTTCTCTTCTTTTTTCTCCTTATCTCTTTTCCTTTCTTTCAAAGCAAAATTTGTGCTGCGAGATACTTAGTCTTGACTGAGTATCTTTTTTTTTAAATGCTTTTAAAAATCAAACTCAGTAACGTTGATATGTCTAACTCCACGCTAAATGTTGTGAGCTAAAAAAATACACTCATCACCTTTGCAGTCGTACTCTCCACCATCTGAGCTTCATCTAGACAAATCTATAAATAACGAAACCAATACATTACTAAGTACCAATAATTTAACAGATACTAGAAAAGCTGATGAAAGCCTGCTGTACTCACCCTCCAAAACTTGATGGCTGTCAGTGGACTTGGCAGAGCCATGTATCTTTTCTGATATCTCAATGACCTGCCTGGAAAATCGAAATAAGAAAGAAAACAAAAGATGAATATTAGAAAGAAGAAAAAAAAAAATTAAAACAACTTGAATGCGCTATAAATGCGGGGGGAAATATACTCTTACTTTAGTCGGCTTTACGGCTGTCTCATTTGTTTTCTCTATTTCTTTCCCTTTCCTACTTTGTTTTTACCTTTTTTAATTTCCTACGATCCTCCTCCTTTTCTTCTTTTCGATCCATTCACCTCCACCCCACTTGGCTCTTGCGAGTAACAAATATGCGATTGCGCACATCACCATTTCTGTTCTTATCTTGCTTTGTTTCCTTCCTCTTATTCATTTATTCTTATAACAGTAACGACCCATTCCAATCATTTCTATTCTCACCTTGCTGTGTTCCCATCATTTCATTCATTCATCCCCCCCCCCCCCCCCCCCCCCCCCCCCCCCCCCCCACACACACACACACTCTAAAAAGAGTAAACGATTTATCTACATCATTTTTTGATACCTTGCTGCGTTCCCAAGTGGTTAAAGTCAGCGCGTAACGTCGCATAGGTTGTTAATATAACATCATGGTCAGCAAGCATCTCAGGTTGCACGAAACCTTGCTTGGCAACTCCTTCGTAAACCTATACAAATGATAAATCAGGTTTTAATAAGACCAAAATTCATCTTATACATGGAAAATGATATCTAGGTATGTATGACTGTCCAGTTAGTCTCCCCCTCAGCCGTTCTTAGTGTCGTCACGCAACGCTCCCTACACAGTAGCCATTCTTAGTGTCGTCATGCAACGCTCCCTACACACTAGTCGTTCTTAGTGTTGTGAAGCAACGCTCCCTACACACTAGTCGTTCCCAAGTAGATAGTTTCCAATCAGAAAACGAGAGACAGTCAGAGACAGAGCCAGTGTGATGACTTCCGCTCAGGTTGTCGAAACGTCAGTCACCACCAACAACAGTCTTTCTCAAGACTACACTCACCCGAACGATCACACTTCACAACAAACTTCACCTGGGTTCAAACCATGTACTCTCATTCTTATTGTCGTCACGCAACACTCCCTACACGCTAGTCATTCTTAGTGTCGTCACGCAATGCTCCCTCTCCACAAGCCGTTCTAAGTGTCGGCACGCAACGCTCCCTCCCCACTAACTAGTCGGAAGGGAGCGTTGCGTGACGACACTAAGGACGGCTATTGGGGAGAAATACTGGCAAGTAGGCACTTACCAATACCCGCAGTGCTGATGGTGTGGTATGTCTTGTGATCTCTTCAACCCATTGATAAGCAATGGTTGCTGGTGATATAATAAGTGTAGCACGGGAATGGATGGGAGGCTGAAATTAGGAAGCAAAAGGAAATGTAACTTGAACTTAAATGTTGTCTTTTGGCAGCAAAACTGGACCAAAATACAATTCATTACATTAACTAAGAGTTTTACAGAGATTTCAGCTACCAAGAAAGACCTTCTCTATGAATACACGCCCAAAAAAATAAAATAAAAAACTTTTACCTGTATTATTATCAGTCAGTCAATCTGAATGTTTTTGTACTTATCGCACAAAAAAATATTTTAAATAAATACTTGATATTTTGTTTATATAACAAACAGAACAATACATGGAAGCTTAGCGTGTTTGTGTGTGAATTTAGCAGGTGAAGCTTTGCATAGGAAATAAAACCAGAAAACCTGGATGAAAACCCTTGATATTTTACCCAATCTTACCATCTTATATTTTACTAGCTTTCTTACCCTGTTGACAGCACAATTGGGGCACAAAAAGGCTTCTGTTTGCTGATATGGGACACTATGACCCAGACAACTAGCATGAGACACAGCTGAACATTCAGTGCACTTTAACAGAACATCATCAACACTCGATCGAGTACTACCACAAATGCACTTGACAGGGAGTATTGCTGGAGGAGAATCAGTACCAACAGCTGATATTAGGCGATTGTTCTTTGTACTCGATGCTGTCTTGGCCGCGTTATCATTATTGGTATTCAAAACAGGTTCAAAAGGTTCAAAGCTAAGGCTCGGTGACAGTCCATTTTTGTCAACATTTGCACATGCATTTGTAGAGTTTTCAGAATTCTTTAAAGGATGATTCCCCTCTGTAAATTGTTTAGGTACTAGCTCATTGTCAACCTCTAATGGCTCCTTATTTCCGGATTTTCCTTCAAATGCTTCTGTTCCATAGTACTGCTTTGAATGTGCTCCTGATGATGAGAGATTATGCGCTGGCTTGGTTGGGCATACAGACGAAGTGGGTGATGCGTAATATGACTGTACTGATGATATAGATTGGACTTCTGATGTCGAAGACTGTAGTAGGGAAGGTACTCTTTGTGATGTGCTAGGTAGATTTGATGACACTGTTGATGAAGATAATGCTACACTTGGTGTTGTTGAAAGTATTGAAGGTAGTGTTGATGTTGTAGATGATGCCATTAGTGATGCAGGATGTAATGTTGTAGATGAAGTTGCCAGTTGTACAGGTGTTGTTGCTGACTGTGTAGAAGGTAACATTGATTTTGTATCTGATGGTGTTATTGATGTAGAAGGTATTGGCTCTTGAGACGAAAGTACTAACTCTGTAGATTGTGTTGCTGATGGTGTTGC